TATTTTACATTGCAATGATTTGAAAGTGTCCAGATACAATGTGCATGGCGGTATTGGACTTGATCCCATTCCTAGTAAATTGCAACAAATATCACTCTATTTCATCAATTCCAAATAATTAACGAAACTAATAGAATTAATAAAATTAAACAATTAATATTTTTACACAGCAATAATTTGGAAAGTATACACAAATATGCAGTGTATCGTGTTTGGGACTTAATCCCATCCTTGATATTGCAATAAATATCATTCTGTTTCATTATTTCTAAATAATCGATGAAACTAATAAAATTAAATGAAATCAAATCAAACGATCAATAAAATTAAATAATCAATATTTTGCATTAATTCAAGTTGGACTTGATGCCATCCGTAGCACGAAAAGAACAGGCAGGTAGTCTGATTGGCGGCGTGCATACACACACACACACACACACACAGAGGCAGCAACGATACGGATGTTGTACACGGGCTCACGATGGAAACTTTACTCGCGTTGCCGTTACACGCTCGTAGCCACTAAAGCCTGTACGGGCCGTTACATAAATATGCGCAAGCCGTATTGCTTCCTTTTTTAACAATCCGTTTCGTAATTGTTTATCACGGCGAGACGAGCAGCCGCGCCGCACCGATCGTCGGTGAACGGCGAGCTCGTTGTTCCGAGGCTGACGCCCCGCAATAATGCGAGTAGCTCGGTGTACAGGCTTTTAGGTACACTTACTCAATACGGGCAGTGGCAACGTTTCGCGAATGCAAATTCCGTATTTTTACGTATTTACGTTGTTTTTAGTAGCAGCTCACGAAAGTATTCGTACACTTACTATAGATACATTTTCACGCACATTGTTATAGTATTACGTCCTATTATTATTTTACTACATCACTGTACTATAGACTTTACTATAGTTATATTATATACTATTAGTTTACTATACATCATTATAACTACTATAATTATTATAATTATTATAGTCCTATATGCATTATTATGAGACTATACGCACAATGTTTGAGCAAAAAGTATGTACAAAAATTGCGAGATATATTTAATTAAAATTAAAACTGTTTAAACTAAGCTATTTAAACCAAAAAATATTTAAATTAATTATCTATTAGATTAA